ATTTATTGCCATCAGGTAAACAAAAAATATTCTTTCTGAAGGTTTCCCAAAAAATCAGTTGCTGCAAATATTTAGGGGACAAGCTTTTGCTATTGTGCGTCATAGCAGCACCAGCTTTATTAAATAGATATTCAGTTATAAAAGTTAGGAAATACCGTTTGGTATGTCTCCCAATGGGTAACTTTTCAAAGATATTATTCAGTTCCATATTGTTTTGATATCGGCAATAAGTTTTAAAACTGACTATTCAGAACCATTAATACGTATCTTTTTTATTCAACGCACAATTTCACGAACCTTAGATTTAGCTGTTTTCACATTTGGTCATTTTAAAGCCTCTTCAACGATGTGATTTATTGTGTGAGCCAAACAGGGCAAATATTTCATTGAGCGTACGAATAGCTAGATAGAGCATATACATTTTACTATTTTGAAGAAAATTACTTGTCACGCCTAAGAAATCTCGCTCGTTCATTGTTTCGGTCCAAATGTCCAATCTGAGACAAATATTGTTAATCTTTGACAAAATTTAGCTTTAGCTGTAGCTACACAAGCTTCATATTTTTGTGGGTCATCTTTTTTAATAAGCTGCACTAAGTAGGTACCTTAAAGTTAGGTTGAAGCACGTTCAGAACGAGTAAAAATCTTTCTCCTTCTACAATGTGGTAAGGCAATAATTGTAAACAAAAAACGCTAAAGCCTGCACTATTTTGTTGTATTTTGAACCTCCCTCCAAAATAGATATATCTATTATAATCAATAAAGAAAAAGTACTAGAAATAATTTATTTTCCTTATTGGCCGAAACTTGTAAAAATGCGTCTTCTAAAGTCCTTTGTGGAGGTATGTTACTATCCGTACTAGCATCAAAAAAACTTTTTAATTCCAACATGTTTTCTAATTTAGAACCGATAGATGTTGATGGCTGTAAGATATCCAACTCAAGTTCTTCAATAGACTTCACAAAATATCCCATATCTTCATAAATATATGTTCTGTGGCTTTGGGCAGTGTTTACACTTTCGATAATTCGATTCGATACGAGTACTTTATTTCGATACCAAGTATTTGTTTCGAAAGAACGATTCAATTACCAAAGTACTCGGTATCGAAATCAAAAGAATGGAAGTCCTACTTGTATTTACTTGTATCGAATCATCCCTAGGAAGGAATGAGCAAACTTTACGAGAAATGTGGAAAACACAACATAAAACCAAATATTTTTGTGCATTGTTTGCTACCGTCGACCTCAATGGTACTTTTCGCTTTGTAACCAGTGTCTTCAAATAAATTAAAAGCAAATAGACGCTGTCTATTGTTATTAAGTATATTATTTTCCTTCCTGTCATCAGATTTAAAATTCATACAAACTCATAATTGGGAAATATTAGATTCTTTTAGGTCTTTGCTGTCTTGAAACCTCAAATTTGTTCGAATTATTGTCTRCATTTGCCTRCGYAGGCAAATGYAGACAATAATTCGAACAAATTTGAGGTTTCAAGACAGCAAAGACCTAAAAGAATCTAATATTTCCCAATTATGAGTTTGTATGAATTTTAAATCTGATGACAGGAAAGAAAAGAATACAATAACAATAGACAGCGTCTGCTACATTTTGCATTTATTTACTTCGCCATTATAGTCTATTTCATTCTTCAGAATACGTTTCGGTGTTTTTTCTTTCCACCATCATCAGTTCATTGTGTATACGTTGTTGCTACGCCTACGCCGCGTCGCAAACGTACTCTGAAGAATGAAATAGACTGTAATGGCGAAGTAAATAAATGACTGAAACCCAGAAAACGCATTTGTAGATATTAAAATTGAAGTACAGTTAGGAACACGCTTTGGCTCACCTCTAGCATAAACGAATGAGAACTACGAAATTCCTTAAATATAGCTGAAACTGTCCGGGAAAGCAAGACAGTAATGTTTTCAGGAAACATTTTCGGTCAACACGTTCGTCCCACCCAGCGACAGTAAAGCTCGGCCTTGTCCAAAGACTTGCCACAGCTATCCATCTCCTCTTGGAACGCAAGTAACAAATTGTCATTTTATGTCGGTTCCGGTGTGCTTTCGCAGTTTCTCCACGTGCCGAAAACAAACGATGGGCGATATTTCCTCATTTTTAACCGTCGGGCGTTATTGTAA